TCACTATCATTTAAGACGCAGAGGCGGGAGGGAATGGGAAAGAAAGTCACCGAATTCAGCGAGCCGAGAACAAATGCGTCTCGGTGTCTCGTTAATCGAAATCGCTGTGGCAGACACGTTGACGCGACTGTGTCACTGGGAAATGATTATACGGCAGCCTCGTTAATTACGCCGTTAGCGCCGATCGTCCCAATTGTCGCGATTCAATCGTCCCTCGTTCCTCGGCGAAACGCGGACGAGTCTCGTAGCTCTCGCGTATCTAATTTGTGCAGGAGCCGAGGCTCCGTCGTCGTCGAGCCAGAAATTTCCCCTATCACCCACCGATCCCTGCGAATCGATTCCAAGAGACAAACCCGCGATGATCGTTCCTCATTCTCGAGAGAGAGAGAGAGAGAGAGAGACATACGCTCTCGTGTTTTGTGCGTTTGAAATCGCCGAAACGTACAGTCGAAAGTAACAAAAACAATTTCACATTTCCGAGACCTCTCCTTCATCCTCAATTTTCTAGTTTCTTCTTGGAACCTGTCCCTAACGTTTTCATCTCGAGAAACATCTCTGCAACACGCTCTTCTCGCGTTTTTTTTTTTTTTCTTCTTTTTCCATCCGAAAATTCAACAACGAACTCGACGACGACGGATATCGGCACCTGGGTTCGGTGAACGCGTGCACAATACGTCGCGACGTATATATACACACCTTCGTCAACTGTAATTGAATTAACGACAATCATAATTTACGCACGTTTTACAATCATCCCGCGCGACGATGAATAAATATCCATTGTTTTTTTACTTTTTCGTTTTTTATTATTTTTTTTTTTCTTCACATCTAACGATAAATCTTTCCGTAGAGGGTTATTATTATCGGGTGTCTCCCCGGGTATGTGAATCGGTGAAACTGGAATTTCGTTTTGGGACAGAGGGGTGGGGGGGTGAGGAGGATTCGATTAAATACGGGGTTGGGGTGGGGAAGAGAGGGGGGCGGGGGAGGGGGGAAGGCAGGAAAAAGAAGGCGGTAGTTGGAACGAGTGTAGAGGAATATTCTTCTCCTCCCTTTTCTTTTCTTTTTTTCTCCCTTTTTCTTTTCTTTTTTTTTTTGTGTGGTGCCTGACGAATGTTTAGAAAAAGGTATCATTTGTTGTTGTTGTTGTTGTTGTTGTTGTTGTTTTGTTCCTTCGAGGTATCGTGTAAGGTAAGAATCACACCGAACAATTTTTACACTTTGACGCGAAGCGGGTAAAGTCGGCTGTGGTGAGTGATTAAAAAGGGGGGGGGGAGGGGGGGGTGTGGGGGTGTTTCTTTTTTTTTNTTTTTTTTGACAGTGGATAGAAAGGAGGTTTTAATTTACGTTTACACACAATCACGATTAGTGCTTTGCTTCTTTTCGCTTGTGTTCTTTTCTTTTTCTTTTCTTCTGCTGTTCAGCTTCGTGTTAATTAATTTTTTTTTTGCGTTTTTCTTCCTTTTTGGTTTCTTATCCTTTAACCCTAAGGAGACCTTAAACGTTTACACTCAATAACATTGTTTACGCGTGTGATTTATTTATTTATTTATTTTTTTTTTAATTTACTTTTACTCCTTAGCTCCCCGACGCGCCACGCGCCCCAAAAAATTTCGTTCCCATTAGCGGATTGAACTCCTTGATTCACGGTTTTCTTGCTTTAAGTTTATAGGGGATAAATTTTTTTTTTTTTAAGTTTAATTCCAAAAAACACCGAGAGAGTAGCCTTGCTTACACGATTTACTTTTTTTTTTTTTTTTTATTTTCGTAAGGTATAATTTTTTTTGCGTTAAGTAGGGAATTTTCGCTTTTTTTTTCTTATTTCTTTTAAAACACCGAACATACATGCCTTATACTTTATGTACAGCCTAGAGTCTTTCAGTCGTTACTTTACTTAAAGAGAGTCATTGAGATGAGTGCGTGAATTATCCTTTCGTTTCCTCTGTCCTCGTCCTTTCTTCCCTTTTTTAGAATCAGAACTGTGAATCCTCCTCGACACGCGAGAAACACGGAAAAATCGTGTGTACTATAGCGCGTCGAACGTCACTCGTTTTCCTCGCGCGGATTAAACGCGTTATTTCCTTATCTTTTCTTTTTTTTTTTTTTCCTTTTGCTACCGTGTGTTTGGCTAAACCAGTCGTTCTGCTTTCGAATTCGCTGCTATCGTTCGATTTCGTCTTGGTCCAACGTCCTGCTCGGCTAACTACAACTACAGCGAAACGACGAAATCACCATTTCCTGCTTACTTTTCATTCCTTTCCCTTTCTGCTTCTCTTTTCCTCTGTTTCCCCCTTTATCTCAACCTGTTCATCTATATATATATATATAGTCAAGGATCTCCTGTCGAACGGAATTCTAATTCTGAAGTACGAGAAGATACCTCGATAGTCGCGCGCACGACGCTCATGGATAACCTGCGAAAAAATTAGTGTCGAAAGAGGAGGGACTGGCGTTCTTCGTGATCGCTCACCGCGACCGAAACGATCGTGACGGAATTTGGAAATTTCGATTTCAAGGAACGTCCGTCCAGTGTCCGTTGCAACTCCCTTTTTCTCCTTCAACCTCTTGCGCGGACCATAACGAGCGACCGAACCAATAGTTCGTCTATGTTTTCGAATATCGTCGGTATATCATTGAACAGAAATGACGGAAGGAAGTGATAAATTTATCATTTGTTTCGCCTGGATTGTATTATATTTCAGTGTATATATTGAAACTGAGAAAGATACTGCGATTTTCGGCACGTCATTTCAGCGCAAGAGGTTACACAGAGCTGACGTCGATCGTTTCAACGTTCAGAGGCAGAGGTGTGAATGATGGAATCCTTATTCCCAATCCTCGCGTAACTTGCAACGATCGTCGCATCTTCGTTTGAGAGAACGCGACTGATCTTTGCGAGTCGGGCCAGCGTTCATCGTCGCTGTCTCCGGTCGAGAGACGATCGATCGAAGCTTCTCGAGAGGAAAAAAAAAGTCGTTTAGGTGCCCAAGCGTAGTAACGACGAACACTGGAACCCGGCGTGACCCGGCGAACGCAAAATTTCGAAATTCACTTGGCACGAATGACGGCGGTGCCGATCTTTCTCGACGCGCTCGAATTTCACCTAATTTCGCTACGTATTCTTCGACGCTGAGAAGGAAAAACAAAAAGAAAAAAGAAGCATCGAGATGCACGTAGTCGTGAAGTTCGTAGAAAAAAGTGAGACAGGAAGAAGAGACCTAATGTTCGGATCGGTACGAGAGCGTCGTCGTCCTGATTTATCGGCCGACGTCGGATCGACGGATCCTGAAGAGAAAAAGAAAGCCGATCCTCCTAGAAGGGCGAGGTTGGATGTTTTCCCCCTGCCACTGTGAAGAAATTCTACGAACGCCGCCGTTGCACGCTGCTTCTCTTTCTCTACGCGATTAGAAAATTTGCAATTCGTATCAAAATGTGAGTGTGTATTAGTGTTTGTGTGTGTGTGCGTGCGCGTGTGTGTGTGTGTATGTGTGGGCGTTGCCGCGCGTAAGAAAAAATTCTTTTCTTTTCTTTTTTTTTTTGCACCTCGGCAAAGAACAACCGAGAGTGGAGAACAAGCGCGCGCCTATACGTAATAGCAAACCTTTTTCTTTTTTTTTTTTTTTTTTTTTTTTTTTTGTTTCTTCCCCCCAAAAAAATGCCTTATAGTATTTAACGTCTTCTACGCGTTTACCATTTCCTCGAGTGAATTCTCAACAGTTTCCCGCGAAACGGGAACGATCTTCGCCGACGACTGTGAAGACAACGTCTCAATTTTCGGTACGTGACTTGTTCTTGTCGGATCCATTCGAATTTGCTAGCTACAAAAAAAGTAAAAAAAAAAAAAAAAAAAGAAAAAAGGATCGAGAATGACCCGTCTCCCCGTCGGCAAAGATCGTTCTGTACTTTTCTCTTGTCTTTTTTCTTGTCAAACAGCTGTGATTCCTGCTTCCTTCTTCCGAAGCGACCCGCCTGGTCTGTGAAAGGGGGGGGGGGAATGGGGGGGGACGCGTTTCTACCGAACGCCAGCCTCGAAATAACCGAGATTAGAGAAATATTGTCTCCTTATGAAAAAACGTCATCTATACGCGCGCCAACAAAAGTCTTGGCTCGTTCTCGTTTCGCATACGTTCGTAATGACCAAAAATATATGTATATATATATAATATATAATATATCATTCCTTATATAATTATGTTGCTCCTTACGAGTTAAGTAATGTTAGTAGTAGGTAATAAGTTTTTCTTCTTCTTCTTCTTCTCCTTCTTCTTCTTCTTCTTGCATTTAGGTAGTTTTACATCGATAGAGGAAAAAAATACGTTGTTGCGTCGGCAATTACTCTGTTCTTCTTCTGTTTTATATTTCATTTCTTTTTTATTTTTACTTTTATTTTATTTTTTTTTTTCTCTTGTTTCGTCTATCTCCTCGCGCTCGCGCGTTCAAAAGTCTATCTATCGGCCAACGAGCTGTATCAGCGCGCGTGTTCGTCGGCCGGACAACCCTGCAGAATTTCGTCGCGCGCGCGCCCCTACCCAACGCGTATATTTTCCCTACGGACGCGTGCACGTGTGCTGCTCGTCTGCTCCCCATTTGTATTTGTAAACGTAAGCGCCGGGACGTTGCACAGACGTTGCATAGACCCGACGCTGTCACAGGCGTCCGAAATAATGTACGTGCGAAAAAAACGTGTGTGTATGCGTTTGTGTGTATCACCGAGTACGTTTCTACCTGCGTGTCTCTGTGGATGGGCATGTGTGTGTCTGTATATGTGTGTATATGCGTGTACAACATGACATTGCATCGTGTGTCTTGTGTCCGTTTCTTGCTCGTTCTCCTCGAATCGAAATATGTACACATATATGTTATACATATCGCCATAGTCGAAAAAAGGTTCCGGTACGACCTACCGTCAGCTGGACGGAGATCGAACGCCGGATATGCGTATGTGACTGATGGAATCGCAGTGGGTTCACGAGTGTTGGTTGGGTGGCATTTACGCGTTTTACTTCTTCTCCTTTCTTTTTCCTTCGTTTTCTTTACCCTCCCCTCCACCCGCCCGCCCGCCCCCCTTTCCCCCGCCGCCTTATTCTTTCCTTTTTTTTCTCTCCTCTCTTTTCGTTACCCGTTTTTCCGTTTGCGTTTGTTTCCACCAATATTCCGCCTCGCGACGTTCAAGGGGAACGTTTCCGGGTGGAAAAGGGCACGGTCAGGAGGCTGGGGGGCAGGGGGGGGGCAGCGCGGAGGAGGGTGGCGCGCTGCTAGCTGTTTCGTGCCACCGTTTCGCGTTTTCACTCGAAACGTCTTTCCCTCGTCCTGTACACGCGCGCACACACCACGCACACGCCACAACACGGGGGAGGTGCACCTCGGCTTTCACCTCCTTCTCCTCCGGGGTACGGGTCGCGCGTTCGGCTTTCATAGCCGCGGCACGATTTCCGGTTCTTTGTCGGTCTCGTGACCGATCGCAAGAGTTGAGAGCGAGAGACAATTACCGGTTACTGTGCCGATGGATGTGTACGATTGCGCGAACCGATGGAGGAGAGAGAGAGAGAGAGAGAAAGGCGGAAAGGCCGAGAATCACCGGAGACCACCCCGTTTTGTTGGCTATTGTGGTGCGGTAGAATGCCGGGGCATCGGGGCGGGAATTGGCTCTTACCGTCTACGCGGATCGTTCACCGATCCGCGTGTAATAACATCATATTCAGTTACTTTTATACTTTACTGATCAACGATACCGACTTTCGTTTTCTCTCCTCGTCTACTGCTCGACGGTGTCTTCCATGCTGATGACCGGTCCGCGTTGCTCCGTCGGTTGCTGGCTGTTTGTCTGCTCGCTGGACCTGCTGTTCCCGGTGCTGTAGCTCCGCTGCAGTTGTACAACCAGTCCGCTCACTGCACCGTACTCCTTTTGTTGCTGTTGCGGCTGCTGTTGTTGCTGCTGCTGCTGCTGTTGTTGTTGTGGTTGCTGCTGCTGCTGCTGCGACGGCTGTTGCTGTTGCTGCTGCTGTTGACTCTTCTGGCTCGAATGATCTACTATAAGCTTACTATCACAGGCACTTTTTTTCTCAGTTGATACGGCGTAAAGATTGTGTAAGTCCGGGTAGTGATTCAACTGCTGCTGCTGCTGCTGCTGCGGCGGCGGCGGCGGCGGCTGCTGCTGTTGCTGCTGCTGAACGCTCTTTTTATCACGATCTTCCTGTCCACCGTTGTGAACCTCCCGTTCCCTGCTGCTGCGATCTATCCTCGAGTCCCGTGTACTGTCCTCGTCTCTGCTTCCGGCCCTCGAGATCGAGAGGGGCGTCGGAGGCGACGTGAGCCGATCGCTACCGTCGTCGTTGCGGCCGCGTTCCGACGGCGACGGGCTAAGGTCAACGGTGGGCACGCGTTCCGGCCTCTCCGGTATCGGCCTCCCGGTCGCCGATGGTCCCCTGTAGCTTTCGTCCTCGCTGCTGTCCTGCGCCAGCCTCGGCACCGGCGTTCTCCTCGAGTTTCTGCACAGTTGATCGATCAACGCTTTGCTCCTCATCGATTCCGGCAGTTGTTGCTGCGTGGACGACTGTTGCTGGTTCCTCGCGTCGGTCATCGCCCTCTGGTCCCTTGGAATTCCCGTTTCGAGACTCGACCTGATCAAATTGTCCAAGAAACTGCCGTTCGCGCCCGAACCGTCGTACAGGCTCTCCGACACCTCCCGCGGCGCTTTGCTCATCGGCGTGCCACGAGAATTCGAGGTTCCCGGCGATTCGGCCGTCGCAGCAGCCACGCCAATCCCGTCTCTGTCTCGCTGCGTCTGGTGTTGTTGCTGCTGCTGTTGCTGTTGCTGCTGCTGCTGCTGTACCATGGCCGCGTTCCTCTGTTGTTCCTGCAAGCCGCGGATCCTACTCGTTGCAAAGTACTGCTCCGGCAGAATCGTCGGAACGTTCGGTGCACCGGCCATGAACGGCGACGGCATGAACGGCGGCGGACTCCAGAAATTGAACGGCGTGAACGGCAAATGAGGCATGCCCTCGATGAACGGCGGCATTTTGATCCCGTTGGGCCCTGGGATACCGCCCGGTGACGTGAACGGTTTCTGTGGTTTCAACTGTGGCTTCTTGTCCGCCGTGCCTGGTCGTATGTTCGCGGCTGCTGCCGCCGCTGTCACCGCCGAGGTCTCCTTCGTCTTGTCGTCCGACTGCTTCTGGTCCCTGGAGAACGTAAACGAAGAAATCGTGAGAGGATGATCTACCATAAGGGGCTACAGTCACTAAGCACTTTTCAAACATCGAAGTGAATCAACAATTATATTAATCACTTGCGCTGGCAACTGATTGCCGACCGTAACGAGTGACCAAGCCGTATAAAATAATTCTTTCTTTTTAAACTCGTAGGTACGATATCACTGGACAGAAATTGTTGAGAAGTAATAAATTTATCATCTGTTTCGCCTGGGTTGTACTTGAATATACTTTAAACTGAGAAAATATTGCAATTTTGGGACAAAACGTTCTCGACGTGAGTGGCATTCCAGCGCAAGAGGTTAATAAACTTTAATTATATTTACTTTAAACCACGTAGGTTAATAAACTTTAATTATATTTATTTTAAACCACGAAGGTAATAAACTTTAATTATATCCATTTTAAACCACGTAGGTTAACCATTTGCGCTGGCAACCGATTGCGGACCATAACGAGTGACCGAACCCGTATAGAACAATTCGTCGCTTTCTTTTACTTTTGAACTCGTCAGTACGATACCACTGGCTAAAAATTATTGAGAAGTAATAAATTTATCATTTGTTTTGCCTGGATTATACTTAAATATACGTAAAACTGAGGAAATATTGCAATTTTAGGACAAAAAGTTCTCGACGTGCGTTAGAGGTTAACCACTTGCGCTGGCAA